TCATCTCGATTTCCCTTTCATTGAAATGTCATCGCTTGACTGGTACTATCTCATCCACAAAGGTCCATAATTCCACACAAGTATGAAATCGCTAAATCAACTAAATCAGACCAACTTTGAAGCTAATCAATCAGGCAAAAACATGGCGAAGTCCTCTCAAAAGCCACATGCAATTATGATTGCACTTCCATTTCAAGGTCATATTAACCCTTCTGTGAATCTTGTTATGAAACTTGCTTCAAAGGGTTGTGCCATCACTTTTGTCCACACAGAGTTCATACACCAAATGCTGTCCAAATCCCAGAACTCCAGCAGTGAACTTGATTTGTTCGCTGAAGCACGTGAATCGGGTCTTGACATTCGTTATACAACAATTTCTGACGGTTTTCCTGTGGAATTCGATAGATTTCTGCACTCGAATGAGTACTGGGAATCCATGTTGAGAGATTTCCCAGCTCGTGTTGATGAATTTGTTGGGAAAATAATCCGGTCTGATCCCCAGTCAGCTTATTTTCTTATTGCTGATACTTATTACACTTGGCCTGCAACAATTGCCAGGAAACATAACCTGGTGGATGTATCATTCTGGACAGAACCAGCATTAGTTTTTTCGATAGCTTATCACTTGGACCTTCTTAGAGAAAATGGTCATTTTCCTTGTAAAGGTACGTCTTCTTTCTTCCTTCCCCCACTTTTTATTGCTTGACTTTATGTAGCCTTATCGTACTTTACACTTATCCCCTTGACCGACCATTTACTGTGAGACAGAGAGCGGGAGGAGCAAGATTACCGTTGTTTCATCCATGAATTTTCTTGATTTTCAGACAATATTGAGGAGAACCTAAATTACATACCCGGCGTTTCTTCCATAAATACAAGGGACTTGATGCCATTCCTTAAAGAATCTTCCAGAACAACAATGGAGCAAAAGGTTGTAGTAAAGATATTTGATGTCGATGAACAAGTGAAGAAAGCAGATTTTATCTTACAAAACACTGTTCAAGAACTAGAATTTGAGGCTATATCAGCTCTAAACCAAAAGCAGCCAATTTACCCAATTGGCCCTATAAACTTTTCAACCGGTTTTACCAAACCAGCCATTTCTCAGAATTTATGGGCTCAAACAGACACTAAAACATGGCTCGATTCAAAGCCTTCCAGCTCGGTTTTGTACGTGTCATTTGGCAGCCTTGTTCAGACTAGTAAGCAGATAATTCAAGAAATAGCTCACGGACTTCTCCTTAGCAAAGTAAGTTTTCTTTGGGTGGTTCGAAGTGATATTGTGAACTCTAATGATACTGATGTTTTGCCCCTTGGATTCGCGGACGATATCAAAGATCAAGGGTTGATTGTTCAATGGTGCAATCAAAATATGGTGCTTTCGCATCCGGCCATTGTAGGGTTCATGACACATTGTGGATGGAATTCAGTATTGGAAAGCATATGGTGCGGTGTACCAATGATTTGTTATCCATTATCAAGTGATCAACCTACTAATAGGAAATTAGTGGTTGATGATTGGAAGATCGGAATTAATCTCTGCGATGGAGAATTAGTTACAAGGGAAGAAGTTGTAGAGAAGATTGACAACTTGAGGAGTGGAACAATTTCAGATGGATTAAAGATAGAGATCAAGAAAGTAAGAACAATACTGCAAAAGGCTTTGGCAGTAGATGGATCATCGGAGAAAAATTTTGATCAATTCATTAAAGATTTGAAGGCTAAAATTCATGTTAAAATGCAAGATATATCAACAAGCTAGGCATGCTAGTGATTACAAGTTTTGTTTTCCCTTTTCCTAGTTGAGGACTTGGGAACTATCTATCATCGTTCTTATAAAACACTCCATGATGGAAATAAATAAACATGAAAGCAGAATGTTACTTATGTTAGAATATACTAGTTATTTATCTATAAAGGTCTTTTTGCTTATTTGCTAGCAAGATTAAATAAAGCTTATTCTATTTATTTTCATTATGCAATTGAACAAGAAATCCCAGCCTTCTTTTCTTCTATTTTTATTTATAGTTTTTACAACTTTCAAGTGCACTCCTATTTTTCAATTATTTAGCCAATGTTAAAGAAATATTGAAATAGATAAAACACAGAGTAATACATAGTATGCACGTGCAATCTTTTTTATTTCTTACCCAATTTCAAAGGAAATACTGAAACATATTATGGCTGATAAAAGTAGCCACAAAAAGAGCCATAGCCATAGGATATGCTCCAGTGTCGAAATAACAACAGATACACGAAAGTGGTACATGACTATATATATATTAAAGTAGTTGTAAAGGAAATGTCAAGATAGATTATGATCAAAAATGTAAAAGTCTTAGAACATGTTCTACGATGGAGATAAATAAAAATGAAAGTAACACATGACTTGCACGTAAACTCTTCTTTTTCTATTTTAATTAGGTTTTATAGTAAATACTAATTTTTTTTTTCGTTTAGTTTCAGGTAATTAGATTACCACTACGAAATTTATTAAGTGCAACATAATTTTTAAGATTTTTCTTATTTACTCAAATAACCTTAAGTAAAATTACATAATTAGAATTTTAATATACTTTTTAATAAAATAAATTATTGTTCAACCGTTAATATAAACCTAATTTTTCTTCCTTTTTCCTCAACATCTAACTGCGCATAGCTTTTCCATCAAGGACGGCTTTTGCATTCTTCGACGGCGACAAGATAATTTTCTTTTCCTCACACTAAATGAATTTATACTCTATGGTGTTATATCCATGATTTTTTTTTTTTTTGGTTTCTTACGCTGATGGTTTCCATGAATTATACATCATATTTTTATGGACTTGGATGTGACAATGTTATCGATGACTACTCGGTTTTTAAGTAGTGAGAATTAATAAGTATCCGCCTTCTCCATCTTTAATACTATTCGGGCCAAGCATATGAAACCTGTCATAAACTTGTCAGTTAGCTGCTTCGAAGAGGTTTCTGCTGCAGGAAGTAAACTGAATGCTTGGTGTAGATGTAAATCTACCAACTGGAAAAGAAAACGTATTTGCAAAACTTGAATGACCAGATTTTCGAGATCCAGAACTGCTGTAGATATTGAAAATTTTTATGATGCAGTTGAAGGAAGCGAGTTAGGCATGAGAATTGAGTCCCTAGCATCACCTGCCATAAAAACATTCCATCTGTGCAGCTAGTGTGATTGCCTGATGAAGATAAAATCATTCAATCCCTGCGACTACAACATTTATGTTGATTCAGGTATTTATTTTAGCTGTATAACGGTTGTATATGTTGTAAATGAATAAAATTTCAACCCGTAGGAGCGTAGTCAAAACACTATTATTGTAAGCAAAGGATCCAAACCACAGGAGCGTAATTAGAACACAATGTAAGGACACAAAGTATATGACTAAAACGATCACATAAAACAAAAATGAAATAAGGAGTAGAAAAAGAAATCAGAGGCAAGTATAACTCTTTCCTTAAGATAAATTACCCCGTTACGGTGCTCACAGTTGAATGAAAAATGTCTCCCAAGATACGACGGATACACACTTGTGGTAGCAGTACTTCAAACCATAAGAACGGCGAAACTTCTAAGGAATTTTTCCTCTACAAAGGAATGTTATGAAAATGAGAGAAATATAAATTGCAAGAGAAGAATGAATTCTTAATGCAATAGTGTACTCAAAACCATGTTCATAGAGTCCTATTTATAGATGTAGAAATGGTGTAAATAAAGTAAAGTGGGCTAAAATCTGCATCCTTTCGAAAAGTTGCAACACTTCATTTTAAAACTTGCATCCTTTCGAAAAGTTACAATACTTCATTTCTTCCAAATTTGGATCGCAATTTCTCATTCATCGGAGATGGTAGCTTCTAGCCTTGAACCTCCTATAGTGAAATGCCATCGGACTTGCTCGGCTAAGTGGTGAACGTGATGTCTTAAACCATTCAACTTTGAGTGTAAGCCAAGACAATGATACTCAACAGACGTCTTCCCTATTCCGTACTTGTTTTTCATGACTTAGTTCATTTTTTGCCCTGAACCCATCTCAGTTTCATAAGTGTGTAAAGAATTCAAGCCTCGAATAATTCTTATTGAAGCGGTCCCACTTCACACTTACATAGGTGACCTCCTATTAAGAGTATTTTGCCATACTCCACTTGACTTTAATCAAGATATAAGAATCATTAAAAGATTAACTTAACCTTTAATCACTCTACAGAAAGCACTTTCGTATCATAGGAATGAGTTAGGAAATTTGATTTCCTAAGTGTTTCATGGAATCCTCACAACTTAGCTGTCCCTTTGAATTAAGATCTTGAGATTTTCAATCAACAAGTTAGGGTTACCATTGCAAAGACTCTTACGTAGTAGAATTTAATCCTATTCCTTTTGATAAGTTAATTACTTGATCTCTAGGCAAACCTTTCATTAGTAGATCCGCAATGTTCTCCTTTGATTTCACAAAATCTACGGAGATAATGTCATTTGACATCAGTTGCTTAATGATTTTGTGTCTACGACGTATATGTCTAGACTTACCATTGTACATGCTGCTTTTTGCCCTTCCAATCGTCGATTGAGTATCACAATGTATACTAATTAGAAGTACTGGCTTAGGCCAACATGGAATGTCTTCTAGGAAATTACGAAACCATTTTGCTTCTTCTCCAGCTTTATCCAAAGCAATAAACTCGAATTTCATAGTTGATCGAGCTATACACATTTGCTTTGCCGATTTTCATGAGATAGCAGCTCCAGCTAGGGTAAACACAGAGCCGCTAGTGGATTTGAAATCTTTCATATCGGATATCTAATTTGCATCACAATATCCTTCCAATGCCACATGATATTTCATGAAGTGTAATCCATGGTTTAAGGTATGTTTCAAATACCTAAATACCCTTTTCAAAGCCTTCCAATGATCATGACTTGGATTACTCGTGAATCTACTAAGTTTATTCACCGCAAAGGTAATGTTCGGTTGAGTACAATTCGTAATGTACATTAGACTGCCTATCGCTTGTGAATACCTTAGTTGTGACATGCACTCTCCCTTATTATTTACTAAGTGCAAACTTGGGTCAATAAGGGTTTGTG